TAATTCCATGAGTCTGGGGACCCAGCATCAATTATACGCCATTCTGATGTAATACTATTCGATAATGTCAATTAGTTTACTCATAGAAATATTCGTTATAGTATTAATCATATTTCGACAGCACCCTGAGAAGATGCTTGCGACGAAGCACATAAAAGGAAGGCTTCCAAATATCAAGAGCTTGTGAAGCGGTGTAGGCAGAAGAGAAGGAGTACCTGGCTGTTCCCTGTCATCAGACGTTTCGACCCCTTCTGCACGACGTCCTCAAGTGGACGAGTCAGCAGTGATGATCAGTCATTGCTCGCTGATTGCTAGTCTCCAGTTCGGCTCATCCTATCTGTACCATAGCCGACACCATCAGCAATCAGCGACTGATCATCACTGTTGACCCGCCAACTTGAGGACGTCGTGCAGAAGGGGTCGAAACGTCTGATAACGGTTGGAACCTACCTTAAATCTAACGGACAGTTTGATGGGCTCATCGTCCACAATGCCCTACCGGAACAGCATAAAGATATGTTATTTCACATTTGGTACATCATTCGATTCTAATGTGTACATGGACGAGATAGATATCAATGACTAATGTAGAGACATATTTCTGCATCATTTGGTAGCCGGCCTCTTAAAGCATTCATTTTCTCAGCGATGGGCGTTGCTGCCTTATGATTTTACTGACCTTGCGTTAATCTGTCAAACCATTAGCATAATTTTAACGAAAAGCATTACGCTGCTTCCAAAAGGATGAACATTGATAAGATTGACTACAGGCAGAATCGAATGCCACTCGATTGCAGCACATGATTGGACTGTGTCAACAATAATTTTGGCTTTCTCAAGAAAGAACTTATGTGAATACCATAGTCTTGATAACAGTTTTGTATATTTCAATGGGGTTCATTATTTTAATTGAATACGGGTGAATACGCTGGATTTAAATTATCATATTTTTACTAAATTGAATATTGAAATGTAACTTTCTCTTGACGATTATGTATTAATTGTTCATTTGCTTCCACGTACCTGGTTGGGAAAATAATTGCCATTACAAATTACGTTATAATTGGAAACGCCTGCGTATTGTTACATGGCACCATAGTTAAAATATTGACTAAAGAAAAAACGCCCAGAGTGTAACTAAGCGCTTAATCAAAACTGTTTACCAACGCCTTGCAAAGTAAGCCAATAATTCGTGAGTAAGGAAACTTATAGTTGCTTAAGCAGAAAACGCTGTCTTTTGTGAACTGGAAAGCAAATATGTCGTTGAATTATGCTGTAACCTCGTTTAAGATAAGACGTACGGTTTGATGACGTAATTGAGATATTCCTACAATGTACTACCGTCAACTGGTTTCTCGTTCCTCTTCGTCTCCGCCTCGGAGACCTACAACAGACAACCTACATTTGAATATAGAAACTTATATTTGGTTCAGCTTGAACTGGGCTTGCAGGTTAAACTAAAAGGTTATAGAGTCAAAACAAACCCCCTTTTAAACCTCAATGATCAACACTGTGACCTAAAACATTGATTTTGTTTTCTATTCCTCCAAAAGGAAACTGGAGGGCGGAAGAGAGATTGGTGAACAATCGTACTGCGTGATAAAACGTGGCATCCATGCTCATGTTTTTCACCATTTCTAGTCCGGATGAGAAATTGTGTCGGTATACACGTTACGAAGTAATGCACCAATTGAATTATATATAAATTAATTTTAATAAATATTCATGACTTCGTTTGACATCCTATTTTGATAAATGTTACATCCTGTTAAGGAATTATGCACTGTTCCGGATGACAATATTTACATATTTGTCTTCAGATCTTAATTTTTATATAATTTTTTATCGCCACATAAAATTTACTTTTGGCGTCATTTCGATTGGACTATGAAACTTAAAAAAGTTGTTTTTGCCAATTAACTCACCAAAGTCAGAGATCTAGGAAAACGAGTAATCATATGAAAGTCATAAAAAGAAGCACAGGATAGTAATATAGAAAAGAGCCATATTTCATAAAATATGAAGGGAAATAAAGTAATATCTTTTTTAATGAAGAAACTCAGACAGGCAAATCAACGGCAAGTAACGTAACTGTCATTAACTGAAACAAGACTTCTTCAGATAAAATGTGTAGTTATTATCTCCGCGCTAAAAGATCCCGGTGATCCGTGCGGCGTCTCGAAATCGGCCTATAGTGGCAGATAATCTCCCGGCGTCATTACGATTCCCCGGCTTGCCGGCCAATTTTGGCCGAACAACTCATCGTCCAGAGGCTTTTTCGGAATTCGGAGCAAATGTGACTGAGGTTTTAACTGTGCAATTATTTTCTATGTCCACTTCCCTCCTAATTTCATCGAATTAAAGTTCAGATTAGATTGTATTCTGTCTTTGCTTCGGTATTCTTTTGTTTACGTTTATTACGGCTTTGGTTATGCTGCGGCGCTTTCTTGTTGATTGAAATATCTTGTAAAGCATGCTTTTTTGCTGTTAAATGAGGACTTTGTGACACTTTGTTTCTTAATAAAAAGGCAAAACCTTTGAAGATATAACAACCAGACGTACAGTACAAACATACTCCCACATGCAAATTATCATCATTATCAGCAGCAGCAGCAACAGAAGCATCATCATCATCATCATCATCGTCATCACCACCACCATCAGCAGCAGCAGCAGCAACAGAAGCATTAGCAACCGTATCATCTAGTCTCCAGACTCAAGAGACATTGTATACAAGAAAATTAAATTTGAAACCGTGCAAAATATGTCAGATTATGTTTCAGAACGCTTATATTGGCTATCGCCATCCCGGATCTATCAATCAATTGCTTCAATATGATATAGATGCGATCGTGTGATTTTATTATCATGCTTTTCGTGCTTTTCAGCAAATTCTAAACTCAAGTATTTGTTAAGGTTGCATATTTTATTGCTTTAGAAAATAGAGAAAAAAATAGATCAGCCTTTTTAACAGCTAGTATATGGATGTTCCTCACATTACATTGTCTTATTATTATGAATATATTCCCGTGTTTGATATTTTGCAATATGCCATATATTTCGCAATGACAAAAATTTCAATAAGTACCGCAGATCAAAATTTATATATCTTGTTGATTATTTTCACGGATTATATTTAACACAGTTACCTAATTTGAAATCAGATAGTACTTCTTTGACTTTTAAAATTGATATGATAATGTAATCATGCTTTGACAGTAATGTAAACTGTCACCGATGACTCCTACAAGGAGAAACCATCTGTATGGTGCCTGTAATTCATTGTTGGCATACTGTATATATTACCATGTAAATGCAATCACGTGTGTGTCTTACGTTCATCTGATCACATAATAAACTACCCGTGGATGTTAAGTGCTATCAAGAATAAATCTGCAGAATTTGTGGAATGTTGGTTAAGTTTCCTCAACTTTGCGCAGTTCGAACTTTTTCATTCAGTGTTTTATTATATCAATACTTTACATACTAATTTAATTAAACGAGTAATTCTAGAAGTACACGTATAAATATATGATCTACTGTCTGCGTTCATAAAATGAAGAGTACCGATTAGTAATTACATTTCCGCTGCGGTGTGTCAAATGATATAAATTACATTGCAACGTAAGCATGATATGACTGGGTGGAATACTGTGCTGGATGCCTTCTGTATTTTAGTTAGGTACATATGTAGCACTCTAAATTCAGCATCGGATCTGCCTTCTCGCAGGTAGGCAAATAAATCATCACACCGCCTCTAGCACACACACACACAACGACACACACACACACACACACACACACTCACACACACACATACATTGCAAGCATGGAAGCCTGTCCCAATCAAACGTAACCAAACTGTTGACATTGACAAATGCATGTAATCTACAACCTGATCTCATGAGTCGACTAATGTGTATTTTTGTATTTTTGTAAGTGGATTATTATGGATATATTTCTATTTTCTTTTTATCACCTGCCTGCCATGATATTCCATGACTAAATACTTTCATGTAATTATAAAATGAATGCATATAATATGACTAATCTTGACAGCGGGTGTTTGTATTTGGACATCAAAATAATAAGGAATTAACTTGGCGTTAAGTTAGACATGAGGATTATAATTCAAGCATCAATTCTGTTATATATTTAGAAACTAAATAATAATAATACATTGTATATCGACTTTTATAACTTGGTAGGGATTGTTTGCATTGTCATGCGATTACAAAATGGCGTAGCTTCATACTTACATGTATTCCATGAAGCGTGACATATTAATGTTCTAAAATTATAGTCTGAAGTCATCATGTTAATCGCTCGTTCATAATCATTGAAAGGATACGGACGAAAATAGCAGTTTACAAATCGTAGTCATCTGCGTTATTGATTCGGCTGCATTCACCTGTTTATCAGTTTCAAGCGTCAAAATGACAGAGACACCGTAATTTTCTGCTTATATCTAACGTTATTTTATCTTTCTTACTTCTTTACTTCTGAAAATGCCTTTGCCGGAAAATTGGTGAAGGAATTGTCGGTGCTGTTTTACATCCGTGTATAAAAATGTGTGCTATATGTACATGTATATATACATATACTTTTTCTAGTTTGAGCACGAGTACCATGTGAATGTAAATTTAAAAAAAAAAATCCTAAGAGTATAAGTACATGTATTCTTGGGTAGTATTTATAATGAGAGACTTAGCTCTGACACCACAATCCATTCAACGTATAACCATTGGGCAATACGCGCCGTCATGTTGCTTTTAAAAATACTACATTTTAGCTTCCATGGACTGTCCCCGACCCAGTTAATGAGCAGACAATTACGGTTAGTGACGTATTATTCCAATAATATAGGAGTATTTGTTCAAGGTGGCAGGAACACTTTTGCCATTTGTAATGCTCATGTAGCAGATATTGTCGACACAAAAATACAAATAATATAAAAAAAAAAAGCATATAAAGAAAATCTTTATTTATTCTCAAGAAAACAAAAATAGAATGTTAGGTATTAAGTCACTCATTTGATCTCTGACAGATCATAGCTGTAAATACGACGTAAAACACAAACAAACCAAACCAAATCACTGACAGGTGTGTTTTACCTTGACATTTAGTAAATTCAAATCCCTTCATCATGTTTGAATCATTTTGGAAGGCCATCTAAATATTTCAGCAGGTCGTGTAAAAATTTGCTTTCCTCTTCGTCTAATCTTGTATTTCGGCTCTGCCTTTGAGGGTTAAACGTGCCATATTTTTGACTAAAATCTGGAATCGAATTTTCCAAGGTGAGGTCTGTATTCTCTCTTAACCTGAACATTGCCATGCAAAGCCTTATTTGTAGGTCTGCTTGATGAAGCTCCTGAATGCTGTCAGTGTTCAAGTCATTGAATTCTGCATAATCGTCCCTTTCCTCTTGTGAATGTCTGTCGGATGCACCTTGTTCAGATATGCAACTTAATCGTTCATTCTGCTCACCACTTTCAATCGCAATTGGTCTATTCCCATAGTTATTTTGATTTACATGGCGTAATTCTGTGTCGGAATCGCCGTAACATAACGTTGAAGGATTGGTACAGAACTCTGCTTCTGTTCCTAACATGTCTGCGCAATTTGTATGTTTAAGAACACCATAATCAAGTTCCTCGAGTCCACTGGTACAAACGGTATTTGAATGTTTGACATTCAAGGGATGGCACATCTTCTTTGATAAATCCCTGATGCGTTGTTTACCATTGTTTGTGGTGTCGTTACCAACATCCATTAACTCATCTCGTTTATTTTGTTCACCTTTTACCACCACGACATTGTTACAGTACTTTTGTCCAATAACAGATCGATCAATCCTATAATCCGGAGCTGTTAATCGTGATGACATTGGAAGATCCAGTATTGCCCTGGCCATTGATAAGTTCTTCTTCACCTCACCATGATCAGGGCCGTGCAGACTATGTTCAGTCTCCTTCACTACGATGTGTTCCAGCGTGATGATTCGACCACCACACAGTCTGTTGGTACATTTCCAGTACATTTTCTCCTTGTATTCTCTGTCCTTACAATAATCATAGCCTCGGAAAGTCGTCTTTCGAGTTCCTCGCCTATTTAGGTAGAAAGTAATGTCGTCGTTCATTGTCCAGTGCTGGTTGTTCAACGAGTTATTAGAGCCATAACCTGAAAAATTGAAAAACGTTAATGACAAAAAATAAATATTCGTAAGCAATTACATTTAAAGAAAGAAACTCTCTAAGAACCGCTGGGATATACTTCATTCGTGTCTGTGATTTTGACTTGAAGACCATGAAATAGAAGCCACAAAGTCTTGTGAATTTACGCATGGTCTAGTTAGAACTTTACTTTTATGCTGTGATGATTTAAATATAATGATTGATTTTAATTTTTTTAATTTGTATATACTGAATCTAAACCATCAATTAATATTTCTATTTTTGCCAACGGTGTCCGTGACTGCGAATTGATAAAACGTGATTGTTTCAACAACTAGTCTGTATTAGATGAAAAGTCGCATCAAAACACTTTACTCATTGAATATTTCAGTACGTGAGAGATTGATTAAGAGATTATTGCAGTAATGATAACTCTGCCAAATTTTAGTGTTCATAAGTGGTTTCCCGATAAAACAGTCCAGTCTTGATAATGTTCCATTTAGTTTTTGAAAACCAGCGAAACTTAAGGATTCTTGATGAATAATAGTAATTTTGCAAGAATGCGTAGCAAGAGTGAAAAATATTAAAATTAACTCAAAAGTGAAATAAGTTTGATGATCAATATTACATGTAGAATGTGTTCTTAGATACGTTTGAATACATTGTATTTATTGGAAGCACGGTAGTCTCGTCATAGGATGCTGTTGTGTAAAGTACGCCTAGTGCGATTAGAGTTGCCTCCCTTCTATGTAATGATTGCCTCCCTCCTTTAATGATGTTGCACATGCGCACTTATAATAAATGAAGCTTGAACCGGCAGCCATGTTCTTGTTGTCACTTAGCCTAACATGGTGTCAGACTAAATCGGGGTAGTGGACAAGTTACCGCCGCCACCGCCCCTGAATCTCTCCTGCAATTTAGCGGAAAACTGGCGTAGATTCAAGCAGCAATATGAAATCTACGAGGCAGCGTCGGGGGTGGACCAGAAAGAGGGAAAAGTCAGGGCGATGACCCTACTCCACGTGGTCGGAGCTGAGTGCCTGGAAATTTACAACACGTTTACCTGGGCGAATGATGAAGATAAGTACAAAATCGTTGAAATCTATCAACAGTTTGCAAATTACTGCAATCCTAGGAAAAATATAACGTATGAAAGGCAAATGTTTTTCACCCGTAATCAGCGAGAGGGAGAGAAATTTGAGAAATTTGTAACTGATTTGAGAAACAAGGCTTCGACATGTGAGTTTGATACACTAAAAGAAGGCCTTATTCGTGACAGAATAGTTTGTGGGGTTAGAAGCGATGCTGTTCGTTCTAGGCTGTTACGAGAGAAAGACTTGACATTACAGAAATGTATTGACATTTGTCGAGCAGCGGAAGCAAGTGAGGTTCAGCTTAAAGAGTTGAATGATGAAAAGGTCGTCCATGCAGTTAAGCCTAATAAGCGTGATAAGCATAAGTCTCAGCTGGCTACTCAGAGTAGACCGCAGAAGTTCAGCAACACACCGAGGAAGCCACCGCCTTTTAAACAATCTAACGCTCGTAATAACTGTAGATTTTGTGGTAAATCACATCCTAGAGGTCCAAAATACTGTCGGGCTTACGGAAAACAGTGTGACAAGTGTAAAAAGATGAATCATTTTGCACATATGTGTGAACAGGATCTACACAGAAATCAAGGCACAGGCAAGGTACACACGTGTACAGTAGACTATTCTGATAGTGACTCTGACAACGTCGCGTCGGATTCGTTTTTCATCGGTACGGTACATGATCGCAGTACAAAGGCTACAGATACTACGGATGAGTGGTTCGTCAACACCAAGATCAACAGAACGCGTGTACTGTTCAAAATCGACAGCGGTGCACAGTGTAATGTGCTGCCTAAACACCTTTGTGAAAAGGCCGGGGTTACTCAATTTCGTAAATCGAGGGCTAACCTGGTATCGTACACAGGACACCGTATCAAGACCATAGGTAAAGCTGACATTGTCTTAGATTACCATGGAAAGTACTACATGATTGAGGTACAAGTTGTTGATGATAATGCCGTCCCAGTTCTCGGACTTAACAGTTGTGTTCAAATGGGGTTAATTAAGCGTGTATGTACAGCTGACCGGAAACTTACACTTGATGAGATCAAGGCCAAGCATAGAAAAATATTCAAGGGTATTGGATGCATACCTGGCGAGCACAAGATTGAGATCGATGACAGCGTGCCCCCGTCGTGCAACCTCCGAGAAAGATTCCTCATTCGCTCCGTGACAAAGTTAAGGCTCAACTTAAGAAAATGGAGGAAGCTAAAATTATCACCAAGGTTCAGCAACCTACGAAATGGGTCAATCCTATTGTAATAGTACGGAAACCAAACGGGAACGTCAGGATATGTCTAGATCCACGTAACTTAAATAAAGCCATTAAGCGGGAGCACTATCCCTTGAAAACAGCTGAAGATGTTGCTGCAAATCTCAAGTCTGCGAAAATATTTACAAAACTTGATGCTTCATCCGGATTTCACCAGATTAAGCTTGCTGAAGAAAGCACATGGCTTACAACTTTTAATACGCCATTCGGAAGATACAAGTATGAAAGACTTCCTTTCGGTATCACATCGGCTCCGGAAGTGTTCCAGAGAACTCTTACCCAAATATTTGAGAATGTGGAAGGTTGTGAGGTCATCATGGATGATATTCTGGTGTGGGGCTCAGACATGGATGAGCACAATAGAAGAGTAGAAATTGTACTCAACAAATGTGAAGAGGTTGATCTACGTTTGAATTCTGACAAGTGCAAGTTTGGAAAAACTGAGGTAGAATATGTTGGTCATATTTTTGAAGACCAGGGTCTCAAACCCAGTGACGAGAAGATACAGAGCATCTTAGAAATGCCTATTCCCGATGACAAGAAAGCATTACAAAGGTTCTTAGGCATGGTTAACTACCTGAGTAAATTCATACCAAACCTTTCTACCATTAATCAACCTTTGCGTGAACGTTTGGAAAGCAAAGTGTCGTGGCATTGGATAGAACGACATCAAACAGCATTTGACACACTCAAGCAAGCGCTAACACAGGCACCTGTACTCAAGTACTTTGACGTCAACGCAGAAATCACCATATCGGTCGACGCTTCTTCATATGGATTAGGAGCTTGCCTAATGCAGAACTCTCAACCAGTGGCCTATTCCTCAAGGTCCCTAAGCAGTGCTGAACGTAACTACGCACAAATAGAGAAGGAAATGCTGGCCATTGTGTTTGGTTTAGCTAAATTTCACCAGTACGTTTACGGTAAAGAAGTTACTGTGGAATCGGACCACAAATCGCTTGAGAGTTTGTTCAAAAAACCCTTATCTCAGGCTTCCCAGCGCATTCAACGTATGATGCTAAAGGTTCAACAATATGATCTCAAGGTCAAATATTGTCCCGGTGAAACGCTACACATTGCAGATACCTTAAGCAGAGCACCTGTTCATTGTACAGCCAGCAGCGATATCTGTGAAGAGTTTGAAGTTCATGTCATGCTAAACATCAGTCAACATAAAACGTTGGAGTTTATAGCTGAAACTAACCGCGACCCTGTGCTGTCAAAGGTCAAGGACATGGTCTTAAACGGCTGGCCTAATGACAGATCAAAATGTGACAAAGATGTTTTAGATTATTGGAACATTCGTGGTGAGCTGTGCATTTGTGATGGCTTACTACTTAAGGGTGATCGTATCGTTACACCGTCGAGCATGCGCGATGAAATGATGAGTAAATTGCATCATAGTCACCTAGGCATTGAGAAGTGTATGTCGCGTGAACAGGAATCTGTATTTTGGCCTGGACTCAGAGCTCAACTTCAAGAGAAAATTGCTAAGTGTGGTACGTGTAATCGTCATCAGAATAAACAGTCAAGGGAACCGCTGAAACCACACCCAGTGCCTGACAGGCCATGGCAAGTGCTAGCGTCAGATTTGTTTCATTTCAATGGTGAAAAGTACATCATGCTAGTCGACTACTATTCGAAATTCTTCGAAATCAACAAGCTTACAGATGGAAAGAGCAGTACCGTAATTCACTGTCTAAAACAGCAGTTTTCACGTCATGGTATACCAGAAACACTCAAGACTGACAACGGTCCAGAGTATGCTTGTAAGGAGTTCAGTAAGTTCACAGCGTCATATGGAATCGAACACATAACCTCCTCTCCACGGTACGCCCAAAGTAATGGTTTAGCAGAGCGCACTATACAAACTGTAAAAAAACTGCTGAGAAAAGCATATGAGGATGGGAGAGATCCCTACCTAGCTATTCCAGAGCTACGCAACACCAAGGTTTCAGGGCTTGATATGTCTCCTGTTGAGTTATTGATGGGAAGGAAAACCAGAACAGTTTTGCCAACCAGAACGTTGCTACTCAAGCCACATTATGACACAGCAAAAGTCAAATATCAGCTACAGGAGAAACAGATGCAAAATAAGAAGTGCTATGACAGATCGTCAAGGTCACTACCTGATTTGAAACCTGGAGATGTTGTGAGAATGCGAGATGATAATTCTAATACTTGGGAACCAGCTCAAGTTGTCAAGGAATCTGGAGAACCGAGATCCTACATTGTGCGTAACAACAATAACAAGTTCTACCGAAGGAATCGTCGCCATCTCTTAAAAACACAGGAAAATCATATAGAATCATGCGAAATCGAACTTCCATCCACTTTGCCAGATACCTCGTCAACTACGCCATCTCCAGGTGATATCGATCAGAGTTTGAGTTCGAACCCAGAGCTAACAGTACTGTCAGTTCACCACCAACCATTGAACAACCGCGCATCAGTCGAGTCAGTGGTCGAGTGATTAACAGACCTAAGAGATTTGATAGTTAGACAGGTAGATAGTGTCCGAAAGAGGCAGAATAATCCTCTTATCTACCTCTGAGCGGGTAGGATACCTAAGCTCAGTTAGTTTTGGTTAAATCTTATTGTAAATATGTTATAATTAATTTCTTGATGAACTGTCGACATTAGTAATCAAGTTATAAGTTCATTCAGTTCCATATTGATCATTTATTGAATTGAATACTCAAGACAAGTCAAATTGATTTAAAATGTTAATTTTATTCAATCAAACAATTTCAAGTGACAATGGATTTCCAGTGAAGAGACATTCTTAACATTTCATACCTATATGAGAACTGTGCTAAAATAGTTTGAATTAAGTTCAATTTTACATTTCATTGCAATTAATTGATATCTGGTAAAAACATCTAATTTGCAATTGCATTTGAAATAATTATATTTCTTATTGTTTTATCATCATTGAATGATATACATGTATTTCATTTCATATATATAATTCAAAGCTAAAAGGGGAGATGTTGTGTAAAGTACGCCTAGTGCGATTAGAGGTGCCTCCCTTCTATGTAATGATTGCCTCCCTTCTTTAATGATGTTGCACATGCGCACTTATAATAAATGAAGCTTGACCGGCAGCCATGTTCTTGTTGTCACTTAGCCTAACAGATGCCGGGCTCGTGAGCGAAGGGTTGCGGGTTCGAGTCACGTCACGGCACTGTGTTCCCTCTTTAAACGAGATACTTTACTCTGCTTGTTCCAGTCTACTCTGCTGTAATTGACTAAGTGGTTGAGCAGTGCTAGAATTGTTGAATGCTAGCTGTGAGGGCCGAAATGGCAGCACCGGCTGTATACTTCCCAGGGAGTTGAGAAATATATTGGCTGGTGGCAAATGCCCTATATCTACAGATAATACTTTGTGAACCGCTTTGAGACGACCTACAAACTAGGTTGTGACAAAGCGGTATATAAGAACCTCGAGTTATTGTTGTTATTATCATTATATTTATATATATTCGTAGAAATATTGTACGATGTTCGCACGAAAAAAACCTGCGCGTTATATGTTCTGCATAAGTGACCGCAGTAAAAACGAACAAATTCACGATAGCTATCGTGGTTGATGTAAATTTGAGAATGACTTGTGGATGAAAACAAGATCGTTCACCTTTATGCTTCATGATTTTAAAGTTTGCTGCCATATTTAATCTATATCTATAATTTTAAACTATACATTTTTAAAATTCATAACTGATAGTTTGAAAGTTTTTTATAATTCTGTTAACGACTTAAATAAGCATTGTCTTTAAATTTACATGGACCAATTTTCGTCATCCGGGGCCTTTCACTTTATATAAAAAGGTATGTTAGAATGAGATCTTCATCATCCTGTTTATATCATTTTCTTCAAGTAAAAAAAATAAAATAAAATATAATAAATTTGCTTCAAGCAATATCCGTTTGTGTTATACGAAATCAGATATTTCTCGAATTCCGTAACTGATAATTTTGCAACAAGTAGATTTTAGTCACCAAATATATGATCACAAACGTTCACATCAATATAGAATAAATGTGAGTGGTCCATGGGGGATTCGGCTAAAACGTGTTAGTGCTTAAGTTCTATGGATAATTCATGGATAAAACGGAAGGGGTTCATTCCGACATGTCGCCATCCGGCCTTTAAATAACATTTCAATCTGTTATATCATCATACAGCAAATTATTATGAAATGAAATTTGGTACAGTAATATATATATATATTTTAAACACAATACAAATAATATGCTATAGTTATAGATGTATGATTGATATGTCATTAAGTCTACACCATATGCATGGCAAACAAAGATTTAAGGAATAAGCGGAGGCGATAGCAAAGAAAAATATATATTTTCACCTATGAATGTATATGTTAAAGCGAAGATATATAAAATGTTAAGTGATACAAAGAGATATTAATCTGTATAAATTATTTAAAAAGTTAAAAAAAATCCTTTTTTAGTAAATACCACACAGTAAACAACGTATAATACAACCATGATCATAATTATTGTCAAAAGATCTTTTTGTCCTTTTTTATATATTCGATGAAAATCAAAAGGAAAAACGACGAAAACAAAAAGAAAAGAAAAGAAAAAGAAAACACACTAATTGTTATATATTTCCTTTTTCGTCAACAGCAGTCCGGGCTAGAGAGCACAGTATCAGCAATCGACGAAAATCACTTAAGAACCACTTTCAATTGCCATTTAAACAAAAAACATAACCCAGACATGAAACAATATTTCCCCATCGGGTCACATTATTCTTACTTCGGGTATACCCACAGAGCACGAGAAAACGCTACCGAAAAGAAAGACAATTTGTAAGAGTGTTGTCAAACGAAAACAAAAATTAATTTGCTGTTTATTATGTGTTAAACAGATGAGGATACAATAAAAAACGGTTTCAGTTACGGGGACCATATACATATGTTGCCTCCTGTGATAATTGAGTGTGATACAGCATTCAAAAACATTTCATAAAACTTTGTGGATCAAGAAGTTTATGGCGGATAAATTCCGCGCTATTCATGGTAATCTTTTTTGTTTTAGATGTTCAAAAATATCTAAACGAAATAATATTAATCAAAGCTTAAACCTGCTGTGTGCTGTAACAACAATAACTTTATTGAATTACTTGCATCATATTTATTCTTCTGAACTTAAAATATAAATGACGCCTACTTTATTCTAAACTTCTACGCACAGTATGACAATTATGGTCACCCCACAGAGAGACGTAACAACGAAGGTGGCCACTTTCATTTTCGATCGTTAGCTTTCTATTCCTTAACATTTCCGTTTTCTTAAACACTACTCTGGATTTTTAAGTGCCAATGATTGCAGTAAGTTTTAAAATAAAATAAAAAGGGATCAAATTTTTTCTGTTAGAAACATGTAGTAAATTAAATTAACTAAATCAACATGATATTTTAATTTGGTTGTCGAAGCAAAAAAATCGTGTGGCGTATGACCAAAAATGACAAAATGAAAACAAAGAAAACAGAAAATCGATAGTATTACGAAAACATAGTAGATCTGTTTAAGTTAGATCTACTATGTCCTAAAATCTAAAAAGGCAAATGAAATCTTTCCAACTGCATTAGTTACCGCGTATGATTAATTGCTTAGATTATTATTAATAATAATAATTACCTAACGTCGTGTACAATTGTCAGTAACAAACAAGCTCTGTAGAACTTTTATTATGACGCAGCTTAGGGAACAAATTTATTTTTTTGAACAATAGATGTATTTATGTACATTTTGTAAGTTGGTAATTACCATAAATATTATATAATTATATCAATGTCTGTATCTACATGGATATGTACAGGCTTAAAGCTTTCAATGTTTTAATCATAAGTAGCGAAAGGATTTACGTATGCAGCCCATCAGTTGGATCATGAGTGGCCATCGCGTCATTGCTATTATTAAACGATCACGTAAACTAAGGGTGAAGTCCATACACTGCCTAAACCCTTAGGGGCTAGAGGATGCGTGATCTACATGTGACGTTTGGGTGAGAAATCCGCTGGACCAATCAGCGTTACACATTACTCCCTTCTGTACCAATCAGCGCGGTGCACACTACTGGGGTCGGGACACTGACGCGGCCCCTTCATCACTTTTGGTAATTTTGTGAAATGAAGTCATTTCTTCTACCCAGACATCTCAACTATATTAATCACACCATCCCTCCCTTCTAGTTTCCTAATGGTTTTACATCTATATTGTTGTTTACATTCCCTTATATGATATGTCAATTTCTGTATCCCATCTTTGTTGCTACATGACTAATAGAAGTCATTGTACTTCATATTGGTTTATTATTCATCTCGTCTTCAAAAATTGAGAACTTAAAATGTCACATGTTTTCATTAATAAAATGACTTTTAACAACATTTTAATCTACAAAAAATTAAATAGTGCAACAAAACAAGCTTCAGTCTCTGAAGATTACTTATATAAGCTGACATAAATGACGTTTTCGTGGGGGAAAACCGCCGACCAATCAGAAAGATAACAACTAACCCTATCAGACATCACTCTCTAATTTCCGCCACCGCCGGGGACCGAACCAAAATTCTTGAGAGAGCGAGTGGTCTGAAGCTCACGCTTGATTGCACATATTAGGTTGATAACATGTGCAGGTATATATTCTTAAAAGATTACCTTGGCTGTAAAATGTATTTGATCAAGTTAGACATATTTATAAGTGACTATAATTTTGTTTTAAAGTTTACAGGTATTTCATTCCATAACGATTTATATGAAATCAAACATGTGTGATATATTTACAGCTTAATAAAAAAATATGAACTTAAACGCGCTATAATATTGCAAACAAACTATAGAACTTCTTATAACAAAATATGATACAGAAACTGGCAAATCATAATAAAGAAATAAAAATGTAATGTTTAGATAAGGTTCAAAATTCACTGAAGTAATATAGATTAAATTGACCACAGAAAGGGAGAAAAGAAGTATAGAAGAAAAGAATTGAATAAATAACAGTGAATACAGACCACCAAATACATTACATTGTACAGATGTACTACTAAGGCACCGCTCTTTGATAGTCACGTGACCGGAATCAGTATATTTTCCCCTTTTCTATATTGTGCAATTGCAGTGCTTTGAACTTTTGAAATGGCCATTTATTCGTCCTAGGATCAGTGGACCTCGTGTGAAAAGAGATCGAAGTTTAAGTCGACAATCAAAGATAAAACTTTATACTCACCAGGTAATGCACATGTCTTTGTGTTTGTGTGTCCATTTAGAATTCTAGAAATAAAATGTACCAGGTGAGCAACAAACACCCAATACATTTGGTGGGGTCTATTATGATTGGCTTAATTCGACTATATTTATTTATGACGTGACATGCTAATTTTAGCGTGTCATAATACATCATCATTGATGTTTTGATATGTTCACCTGTAGTTGATATTAGTTATTTTTTCAATCAGTGTGATTGTCAAACTTAACTTAATGCATGCATTAAATCATGCCTTATTAAGATACACACCGAGTTGTAACATACCCGTTTGTATCGTAAACGTTAATCTCTAAGGGGAGTATCTTTCCTTTATTCGTCTAGGATGTTATGAATGATATGATCTTTTAGGAAACGAAAGCTTAAGGCCGATCACACAACATAAATGCACTTGGCATATTTTTAAACTATTTGATGATTGTGTATGTGATGCCTCACATACATCACCCCTTTTTTCAATAGTATCAAAAAGTAACGACCGGTGATAGGTAAGTCATTTGTCATTGTGATTTTGTGGCTAATCAATTTATCCTTGAGTTATCTGCAAATCTTTATCAGCTGATATCTCATGCATTGCCTTTATATCAATGTAATTGAAAGCAATAAAACAGATATATTGGGCAACGTAATCGTCTCTTTATAATTTATACAGGATAATTACACATGATATGTAGAAATTAGCATTTAATTCCTAACAGCAAAAAGTATCATATAAAAGTAATAAGCGAGTTTACAATATCAGATTGGTTCCTTTCGTAAAGGGAAGCTGTGTGGTAGATTTATATTAGAAGCCTCGTAATACAGGCGCACATTATAACCAAAGTTGATGTTTTTATTAACCGAATTATCGTTTTGTGTAAATTTGTTTTTGTGGGAACAATATCGAATACATGTTTGGAACAGCTTTATGTGTTTTTAAGCGACTGACATACCTCAAATACTAATTATTATACATAACATTTGGAATAAAGCTTTATTCATCGAAATTAGTCTTCATATATGAATACCACATTAATGATTAGAAATGAGGAAATATCATGTTATGTTGTAGTTTTTTTTGTTTATGCATACTTTAAATTTCATTTTCCAACACTCGTTCCATGTTATTCATTCTTACTATTTTAAACATTAGGGAATAACTCTACTGCATTGTGAGATTTGTCGCGGTATATCCTGATTATGCTGTCGCACATATAGTTTTACTGGTGACGAGGAACGGAGTCAATAAAACGGATATTTGTGACAGTATAATCACGATATACCGCCGTAAATCTCAAAATGCAGTAAGATTACCACAGGCCTTATATAAACTTAAACAACTAAAAGAGATGACGATATTTTTGAGCGTTTCCTTCGACATCTATAAATTGGTGATGTCAGGAATTCATAAAATTGAAATGGACTTGCATTGACCCGTTCGGGTCATGCTATTTGTTGTGACGCCATTAATGATCAATTTCATCATATGTCGAGGACATTGACGCCTTGTTTCATCTTAAATGAATTAGAATGTTTTTAATTTACAGTGTTTCGTCATTGAAAATGTAGCCTATCGCATGAATTACAATATGCAATCTTCATTATATAATGATAACGCTGTTTATATACATATATAGATTATTATATATAAAAATCACTCTCGTTGAAGCTGCTTTTATGAATTGTGAAAGTTGCCTGTTCTAATATTAAATGTACTCAAAGAATGTATGCTCTTGTTTGTTTGTTTTATTGTTTGTTTGTTTGGGTTTTGACATCCTGGTACATGTAAAAACCAAGGTCATATGAAGACAGGTGCCAAGAGACACAACCGAAAGGAGAGAGAAGGTGAGAGGGAAAAAACAAGGATCCCTATTTGTAGCATCCATGAAATTCGAGGGATAACGTTTACTTAAAATACGGTCTCTGTTTCCCTGGAAAATCCGCCGTCAGATGGTAAAATGTACTTACACAATGCATTCTTCCTATGTAAAACACATGTGGACTTTATGCAATACAAGATATTTCAACAATAACACATTAACATCACTCAGAGGCCCTTTATTTAACGGGAACTTTAAGGCGGAATCGTATGATACACATGCAAAAGACTGGTTGAGTTCGCCGAGTCCTTTTAAAATGATCAAAACGATATTGCTTGATTTAACAATCATTAAATAATCCTTATAAATTAAATTATCATCTCAAAGCTTAAATAACCGGACCATAGAGCATGACAAGTTTCCATGAAGCCGACAACAATGACTGTGGGCGGAGGTTTTCAATTTTTCTTAAAAAACAAGGCACAGTTGCGTAACGTCTTCAACAGTAGATGAGGGCTGTGTTATCCGTGGCTTGTTATGCTAATTTCAGGCTGTTATACTCAATGAACCGATCACATATTACTACGTTTTGGAAATATAATATTAGTCCTCTTATCAGACTATTAATTAGAATAGTTATGAACTATTCACAGGAAAGAAAACCTAAAAAGGAATAGTTTCTATTGTGGTCAACTTGAATTATCACCTCCTAACCTATAAATGGTCCAAGTTTAACAGAAAAACATAATCATAAAGCGTTGTCATCTTCTCGTCACCTCCTAACCTAACCAATAAATCTTCAAAGTTTAACAGAAACGGACCATAAAGCGTTGTCGTCTTCTCATCACCTCCTAACCTAACCAATAAATCTTCAAAGTTTAACAGAAACGGACCATAAAGCGTTGTCATCTTCTCGTCACCTCCTAACCGAATCTATACATCGTCAAAGTTTAACAGAAACGGACCATAAAGCGTTGTCGTCTTCTCATCACCTCCTAACCTAACCAATAAATCGTCAAAGTTTAACAGAAACAGATCATAAAGCGTTGTCATCTCTCATCAACTCCTAACCTAACCAATAAATCGTCAAAGTTTAACAGAAACGGACCATAAAGCGTTGTCATCTTCTCGTCACCTCCTAACCGAATCTATACATCGTCAAAGTTTAACAGAAACGGACCATAAAGCGTTGTCGTCTTCTCATCACCTCCTAACCTAACCAATAAATCGTCAAAGTTTAACAGAAACAGATCATAAAGCGTTGTCATCTCTCATCAACTCCTAACCTAACCAATAAATCTTCAAAGTTTAACAGCAACGGACCATAAAGCGTTGTCGTCTTCTCGTCACCTCCTAACCTAACCAATAAATCTTCAAAGTTTAACAGAAACGGACCATAAAGCGTTGTCATCTTCTCGTCACCTCTTAACCGAATCTATACATCGTCAAAGTTTAACAGAAACGGACCATAAAGCGTTGTCATCTTCTCAATTTGCACGTGCTAAACTGGAGTTATCACCACATAAACTGACCCCAATAGAAATCCTTTCCTTAAGTAGAATCCGATCATTTATACATTCATATTTATTAACTGTATATTTTTAACGTTTAAACAATTAATGTTGTTTCCGTAACCTCACTAATGAGCGTTCATGTTTCATTTATTGGTTTTATGACATTTCATTTCCATAATACAGTGTACCAGTAAACGAATACACTGCAGTGAAATAGCGTTGCATCCGAACATTGTTATCATAATAATAAGGTATATAATAATACTATTTAAATGTTTAATTTACATTAAATTATACAACACCTGCTGTTTCATATTTTCATTTTGTATATACAATATACGAGTTTTAGAAAATGATATCGAGTCAGGATCACTTAATATTAATCCTTACATTCTTAATAATGGTTGACGTCATGCTCGTTGCTCTGAATAATTCTATTCATTTCATCTTGCTTTTCAGCGTAAATGCTGACGGGAGATTCTAATTTTGATTCGCCCTAAAATAACTAATCACCTATGACGCTGAAATATTTAGACATTTCCCGAATTAAAATTGGTTAAATTTGCAAATTGCAGATATTATTACATCAGACTAGTTACATTCGTTTAAACGATTCATAATTTAGATATTTACATTTTTTCTTAAATGGGACATAAGATACCTACTTTAGAGTTTGAGGTTCGTTAAATCCATAAACAATTTCGTTGTCATATGACTGCATCTACCAATAAGGTCTGGAAGTAGTCCCATTTAATATTTCCCGATTGAAATAAACATTGATATGTTACATTTTGTTTATTGTTTAAGGTTGTAATTAATAAAATAAATATTTATATTACCGGGACGACTTCAAACAGTAAATGATGACCTTGCATGTTTTGACATCTTCCATTAGACTTGCACAATTTAGAAAATATGTCAATATTATCAAAGTTGCACAGAATGTTAATATAAAGATTATTAATGTTTTTGTTTCATTGCGATAGTGCGGATATGATGGCGATTCGGAGTGCAACCGCGTCTTAAAATCTTTCCGAAGGTTCCATCTCACTATTACATCTAGTCACATTATACTTACAACTGCTAAACTATTCATTACGCTCACGTTAAAGGTCGAACATTGGGAGACTTTTGCATGGCCCGGCTAGAGAATATAATTCGATCACTGCCTTCCTCACAAATGCAAACGTTCTGCAACCTGAAAATAGGTTAATGGAAAAAGGAGTCTGACCCAGTGTAATGATAGATATATGAAAATCATGTACAGAAAGGAGATGGAAAAGCAATAATTTATTCAAATTATAACATTGATGATGACTTCACAACCCGAACAATAACGTAACAGACACACCTATATTATTTAGTTATAGCAAACAGTATCGCAGACATGTACAACACTGAACGAGCCAACTGTTTCGTCCTGTTGGTGCTCATCGATCATACTAGGGGCCAAACAGGAGGCAATCGTAATTCGCCTACACAACTGTTGAAACAAAATGGGAGAGTAGGGTTGGGAATGTGGGCGTACATGTAAGACCCTTAAATAAAAAAATAAATAAAAAATAAAATAAGCAGTACAGGCTTATTTCAAGTCAGTAATGAAACAATCATGTCTTTAATGAACCAGGTACAATTATTTTATTTTATTGCTGTAAATGATGGCGTTTGAACGACAGTGTTTAATTAAACAATCGTCCACCGGCATTGCTATAATTTTGATTATACAGTACGTTTTTTTTCCGAGCGCCACATCTGTGCCTTTTCTTGTAACATTTTACTTTAACGGACAGTATGCTGATACAATAAAAAAGGCATTTCAGTTATCATGCAATGCTGTATGTCATTTTGATAAAACGCAAATTTCCCCGTGCATTTTGTTGTATGTAGCACATAGCAAGTTGTAGGTACATTGTATATATTATTTTAGGAAAGCTAATTAGAAGAGACTGTTTAGGTATTTTTGAATTTCCAACGTAATGATATGGCTGAATAATGTGGGGAGTTTGTTATCATGCTCTGATTCAGACTTTATAGTGGTGACGGTTTCTTACGAAATTGTCACAACTCTTCATGTTTACGAAACGTTCGAATACAGATAAAGACAGAACACCTTTCATACAGGTTATGCACTTCTAAACTCGTCTGGCCTACACAACTTACAAGATAAGCTTGCTAGGGTCACACGAACGAGCCAGGTGAATTCATTCTGCTTGGTGGATGATGGCAGTAATGGACAAATTTATCTTGATCACCGTTCTAATCTCACTCAGTCATGGTAAAGTGTATTATATATTTCCTGGGCATATTAGTTTAGTTTCATATAAAATATTGAGGTTAAAGAGCTGACTATTTGTTTTTTTCATTTTAGATTTACCGCTTTATTGAATACTTTTTATAAACAGTTAAGAACGCACGTGAACAGGATGCTGTGTTTTTTGCAGATTATTTACAAACGTGTATATAGTTAATAATCGAAGCATATTCAGCTTTCTCATTGTTCAACTAACTTACCTTGCAATATGATAGTGTTATGTAACGTCAGCATAAATGAATGTCCATGCTTACCCATTGGGTCATTCTTAATCAAATGTTTTTTTTTAAATATACGGGTAAATGTGAATTTTTCATTTAACGTCAGTACACCTAGCTATACAAGTTAACAAGTTACCAAGCTCGTAATTTAGTTAAGCATACTTTATATTAATAACTATAGTTATTGCTGTTCTGGATATGGGAAGAGATCGGAGTGAATACTTGAGATATGTTTCGTTTTCCTCTCTTTTCTGTCTGATTTCTTTGATATCTACTTTCTTTTTACTGCGGTGTTTCCCATGACACATCCCTAATTTAACACATGCTAAATCCAAAGGAAACAAACAAACATTTGGATGAATAACATTGTGAATTACGTTGATCTTTCACACAGTTTGTGAGTCAGCATTTACCTTTGCCTCTACCTACGAGGATCATATGGTCCTCCAAAAAGGGCCACGTGGGGCAGTAGTTTGGGGAAAGTCAACTAAACTAGGTGACACAGTTCACGTGTCATTAAATGGCCACGAAGTTGCTCATGCTAATGTTACACACGATGAGTATGGTGGGCTGATGTGGATTGTAAAGGTCGTCATGAATACAAACAACTACGGTCCCTACAACCTCACAGCACTGTCGAGCTTAGGGGAGCTAACTCTCCATGACGTTATGTTTGGTGACGTATGGGTGTGTTCCGGCCAAAGTAACATGGTGTTTCCCTTACTTTGGGTAAATACATGTATTCCTATTGCATAACTTACATACTATATAGTAAAATATTAAATATTAAAATACAGTGAATTAAATATTGAAAGAAATAAAAAGCAACTGCATATTTATATGTATATATATTCGATATTTATGGGCAAAGAAGTAGTTCCAACATATATTTATATATACCTATGTAAACGTCCAGAGAAACCACAAATAAAGAGAAAATAAATAGACTTGATTAGGAAAATAAATATGAAATATACATTTATGTAAAAATCAAAATAATCAAGACATATTTTTACACTTAGAAAAAAACCTTACTCAGAGTATACATTCAATAACTGAAACTTACAACTCTTTAACGAAATCGAGGACATAATTTCGTTTTAAAATCGACATATCCCTTTTCCAAGTGCGTGAATTGTTCATTAATATAAACAAAACACGAACGTCTTATCAATTATATTTTTTTTAATAATAACACTATTTTTCATTCCAGTTAGTCAATGCCACGGAAGAGTATGAAGATGCCTCAAACTATGCCAATGTACGAGTGTTTAGAGAGCCTTTCCATCAATCCAATGTTTCTTTGGAGGATTACAGACCTTATCTTCCATGGTCGAGACCAACTGAGCGTATGTATATTTCTGAGTGTCCTGTCGAAGTTTACATACATTAAATGTACCTTGGCCCACATGTATAAAACATTTCAACTCTTGAGATTTCCTCAAGTCTACGATTTCCCATAGACAAAACATTGCTTGAGATTTTCCTTAACTTTAAGATGTTTTATACAAGTGGGCCCTTATTTGAAGAGTAGAAGTATATATGAACCGTAACATTTAATTTATTCTGTGTCTAAGATAGTTCGTAAGAGATAAACATGTCTGTGCTCAGGGGAACCATTACCACAGTCAAATATGATTCGAAACATTTATCATAACAAAACAGGTGTCATTATTGAAATATTCAAATCGTTAAAATGAAACAAGTCAAGTAATTTTAAAATTTGAGTCGCTGATAGTAGCGGACTTAAAGACTATTTCATATGTACCGTAGGTGGCAAGAGTATTCCTCCCGAGGGGATCATAAATTGGGGTGAAACCCGAGGCTTCGCCCCAATTATGATCCCCGAGAGCGGATTTTTTTATCCACCCATCGTTACATATGAAAGAGTATTGTTTTCTCATTACCTCTCAATGCCCACATACAGTCGCCATCTTCCGGTTTTTTAAATACTTCCTACGTGGTTTAAAAACAAAAATAGAAGTAGAAATATATTCTCAATACCCTCAAACCGCAACATCGTTGAAAGCATAAAAACAACACATTTCCATGATTACTCTATGGTTTAGTTGTTATTCAACTTTCTATTTTCCATACGATTTTTTCTAAGCGCCATCTTTGAAACTCATCGCTACTTACTGTACATCTCATTTAGTGAGTAAGTTGCTGACATGGGGAGTTACTACGTGATGTGATTAGCTTATGTAAGATAGACTCAGCAAACATGGTTATCTTACATGGCCAGCGTTATCTTACATGACCGGTTATGAGAGAAATTCTTCTCCGCCTTGTTCAACATAGTGCAAGGTTTGTTTCAAATATATACAATAGATTCGATAATCATGTTCATTTGTCAACTGGAGTTGGATAATCTAACCTCCGTTTAGAACCACCAACCTTAAGTTATATATATATGTTTTAAACAGACACTCCAATAGAACAGGTAGTTGAGAATCGGTATAAAACCGTGCTTTAGTTGATGTTTAAAACGCATACGCAGTGATAACGTCTCATCCACACCATACTTTTGATAAAAGGGTAAAACCGGAGTCGAGAGCAGTAGTATGTCATTTGATACATCAGTAGTTTAAAAAACTAAATAAATACATAAATAATAAACATATCACTAAATTAATAAATTAAACAAGAGAACGCCAAAGTGTGAACAAAAATGTAATTCGATCTCATAATCGATGCTGCTAGGACAAAACCTGATGAACGGCAGAAATGAAATATTCACATTGTAACTCTTATATAATTTAATCCCGAATTAATAAACATTATAACTTTTTAGGACAAAATGTATTCGAGTTATTATACATTTCTATACAGATTGCTTCAAATGTTCTGTCTTTTTGAAGTAAAGGGTTAGTATGGAATCAAGAGTAGTAATGATTTCTTGCTGTATTAAGGTTAAGACATGTTCTCCTACACGCAATATATATTTTGATAAAGCTTCGCAACTGTTATATCGGTTTCATTACACATCGGTCTTGCATTTAGAGATATGACAGGTGTTTTATGTTACATTTACAAATATTCCCCCCAAAGAAATGCATTGACCACAACATTGTAGATTCCTTGAAGTCGTTTTCCGCCGTCTGTTGGTTGTTTGGCAAACGCCTTTCATCCCAGTTTCAATACCCCATTGGATTGATGGAAACTAACGTTGGAGGCACAAGGATAGAATCATGGTCTTCACCCGAGGCTTTGAGCGCATGTCCGTCAACTAGGAGGTATGGTAGACTAAAATTATTGTGATTAAAGCTAGAAACATCAGCACAAAAACATGGTAGCCAAATATGGCATCATAATATAATGATATTCCACGGGTTGGGCCTGGTAGCTAGACCTTTAGTCATAGGTAACCAAGTAGCAACAAGATCTTAGATTTTCATATTCTTTTTTTTTTATTTCTAAACATTTTCTTCAGGTTGGTAAGTATGGATTAAAAAGAACTTCTCATAATTCTTTTTTTTTATGATTAAAAGTCTCAACTTTTATATTGTTATTGTGTTCTTTAAAATGTTTGTTTAATAATTATGTCATATCCAATTGTTATATTTAACATGTTGATAAAAGAGTGACTGGACATTCTACTCTTTGGAATGGAATGGTGACGCCTCTCCTGCGTAACACTATATATGGCGCCATCTGGTATCAAGGTATAAACAAGTTATTTCAGCATCAAACAGCATTCTGTTCCGTGTTATATGACCATAACACAGAACAGAATGCTGATTTTTATTAATTTTTAATTTCTAAGTTCAAAACGCTCTTATAAATTCGGGGTTCGCGGTGTTTGTTCAAGAGGTAGAACGGTCCAAAAAATATTGATACTATTACCATAATTTAATCAATCAATATATTCGATTCACATTTTATAATGGTCTTACATAAAATAATGCATATTATTGAATCATAGTGAGGTTTTCTGCTAATCCGCTTGCTAGTGCGGAGGGGAATAACTATCCGGTAGTTAGTCGGTCACGTATGTGTTATGGTCTCACAAATGTAAATATAATACAATAACACCTTTAGGCACGACGAGAATGTTGTAACACGGTATATGTACGTATGGAATTAAATAACAATATAGCGTTATGTTCACGAATTGCTTTCCAGATGGGTTCAAGTTCACACTTTCATTGATGTATTGACTCACTTAGGTTGATTTGATGACAAAACCATTAATGTGTATATTATTATATTGTAATTAACATGAACATAACCATAATAACATTTTAAAGTAAATAAAAGTAATAAAAAAAGAATACCTCATGTTAACAGACTATTTTGCTACATAGAGTATGGTATGAAACAAAACAAAAAGTCAATTTCGTAAATAATTCGTTGCTCTCGCATAAATACAATGAAATAAGTGTAATATTGGAGAAAACCGATACATTTTACGTATTTACCTTTTACACATTTACCTTATTTTACTCGAAGGGGAGGCAAACATCCATAAACCGAACCTCTACTCGTGTCAGTTTCCCGCCATGATAGCTGACTGGAGACACAAATTCAGTGCTGCATCTCAACACACGACATCGCCAAATTTCCCGTTCGGATTTGTACAAGTAAGATGCTCAATCATTGATAAAGTCGTTATTGGGATGTCTTATATGGCCTCAGACCACAATTAATTCTACTATCTGTTACTACCAAAAGAAAATTGAAATTAAAATATTTGAATGTCACTACCCTGCATGCATAGGGGAAAATACCAAAAATCACAAAAATATCACTGCGCAAGCCTCATCACTCATTGTGTCCTGCTACGATTACAAACATGAAAACTGTGTCAAAAATTGAATCACAAGAATAGATAATGTTGAACAATTCTATGAAAAAAACCCTGTACAAATCTGTCATAGATCAGGCAGGAAAAAGTATTTAGTAACTGACCTGAAATGTCATTATGCACTACATTCGTGTACAATAACACGGAAGAGTATTTGTGGTCGGAGGCCAAATGTGATTTTAATTATATTTTCGCTCCTTTATTTTCGGATTTGACGTTCGACATTTCTTTCCAATATGTCGTGTCGTCAATAAATTCGTTAAAACTGACGCAAATAAAAACATTTTATAAAATGTGCATTTCCCCCCAAGGCAACGACGAGTTCATAAAGATTTGTTCAAAATATAAGACAGCAAAATGAAGTGTTACTTACACCCCTTATGGTTACAATAATTGTATCGATTGTATAAATTGTATATATGTGTACTGTGAAGCGCTTAAGAGCGGCTTTTTCTAGCTAGATCGGGCGCTTTATTAACTGTTGTTTACCATTGTTATTGTAGAAACCTGAATTACACTTAATTTAGTATTTGAGGTCAAGGTCAAAATTAGGTCACAGTGGCTTCGTTTTACGATGCGACAAACCTCCTTTCTGTTATGTACATATATAGGTTAATATAAATTCATAAAACAAAGGCTGAAATGTACTTCCCGAAAATGGTTTTTTTAATAACCAGAGTTCAAAGCCTAATGTAAATTGACGTCACAGTGATCTAGTATTAGGATACGATACGCTGTCTTGCTATGGTGTACCTATTTATAAAGTTTGACCGCGGAAATACAACGCTAAACTCCACGTGACATTTCGTCCATTTTTCGGTCATAATTAGTACCCGAATCGGTATACTATATCACAAGCAATGGAACTTTTTTTATTTCTACTTATTGTTGATGAGCTGATGGCAACAAAATAAAATGCTTTTAAAAAAACGAAGATGTAAGCCAATTTCTTGGTTTTCTGACATTTTTACTTTTTAAGTCATCGTGTACTTTTTAAATGTCGCTGATAACAAAACTATTTAGTCAAAATGCTGACAGATATCTTTGTTGTAATAACATATCCGAGGAACATACACATATGTAATTTTCTGACCGTGTACCCATTGGGGAAGAGTACCAAGTCAGCGCAGACGGACAAACGGCCAGACCTAATACTATATAAACCCATCCCACCTGTCTTCACCGCAACGGGGGTATACAAACGAAGGTGATATAATTTTCCCGCTCTACATGTGGCACTCACGATATAATCTCCGGTCAAATCTGAAAAAGTGCTTGGTCACCGACGATCTATCATTTAGGGAATAACTCCTTAATTGCGAAACCAATGGAAGTCATGATAACGTCAATGAGACATTGTCATATTTGCTTGAAACATATTTGGTAGACTACCTTGGGCACACAGTGCAATGATCAACAGATGACATATATCCCGAAAATCCTCGAATAACGAACTCATTCTCACATTTTAATTTTACAAGCAGAAAGGAAATGTTAGTAACATAATTCCCTTTGGTTAATACCATTACCTTTAACATTATAACACAGATAAACACTTAATACTTTTATCTCTTTATTTCATTTGTTTAAACAGCTAGCCGCTAACAGAAATGTATCGGCGACTACTGGATTTCCGTCCCTGCGATGGGCTCAGACAGCTGACTACGGCACGGTTCCCAATGCCAAGATGCCAAACACATTTATGGCAGTAGCGATGGATCTACCGGACTTCGACTCTCCACACGGAAAGTAAAGTCACAACTTAATACTTGTATACCTCAGATTGTTTCGGGTTCATTTTAATACATGTCCATCTATGATTATCAAACTCTTTGTGGACAATGGTTGCTGCAACAAAACTTTCTATTCCTACTTTCTTAACCGTCATGAAAGAGTTTTTTTCTTGGGTCTAGGTAAGTGATTTTTTGTATAGATTGGTTGATATTGCGATAATATTGCAAAATACAGTACGCTTCATGGAGATTTATCTATGTTTTTTCTTTTGGATAAGAATCTTTTTTATTCAAGATGTCACCAACGCTAGTGTGAATATGCATGGAATTTAATTGTCGAGAGATGGTCGGTGTATTTTCGAAAACATTTGCGTTAACCATTAATAATTATTTATGGATACACATCTGAGATTGTCATAAATCACATTTCAATATGAAGCATGTTATTCAAATTTCTTGTTTTCACCAAACTCTCGATTTTGCTGTGCTATCTGCTCCAGTCACTAGCAAACTTTGAAATATGACCTGATGGTCGTATCGATATATGTTCTGTAAGTTTGACGTCAGAATTATGATAATGAGTGTGACGTAAACAATTAACGATGGCAACGATGACAGGAGAAAACGTCAAGGATTCTCTGAATGGTTTTATGAAAAAATAAAATTTAAATGATTCGGTTCTATTTAATTTAATCCCAATTGATCTGTTTAGCTTGATAAAGTCACGCGTCACAAATAAAAACATATGGAGTCGCTTCGTCAGTGTTATAAGGAATTGACATGCATTGAAAATCATATATATGTATAATACATCAGATGCGAGAAGCTAATTAAACGTACTTTTTTAGCATCCATCCCCGTTTTAAACATGACGTAGCATCCCGTCTGGCCTTGTCAGCTCTCGGTGTGGCGTACCACCAGTCAGGACTAGAGTACCAGGGTCCTTACCCATCAGATTACCACGTGACTGGTCACTCCCTAAATATAGAGTATAACCATGGACGGACCCCCATTAGACTGACCGTCAACGCTACTCGAACAGGAGTGGGCGCCGAATTCGAGGTATTATTGAGATATAACTAAAAACACGAAGAAAGGAACCAATGACATACATTTAAAATTTAGTTCGATGATGCATAAAGCCAAAAAAAGTTATTTTTCTGTAGCATATGTCAGGTTCGTTCATTTAGAGCTTATCGACGGTACTTTGGAAAAACGTAAGGAAAATCCATGTATGTAGAAAGTATCCTAAAACTGATGTAGAAACAAAGCAGAAGTAAGGGCGCATATATAACCCCTTTACATATTAGCGATACAAACTATTTAAGTTTCGGCAGTTTAGTAACAGAAATGACTTAAAGATTCCTATCCAACTTTCTATACACAGTTACCTCCCTTTTACTTCCGTTTGGATATAGCTGTAGCACATTTGGGCTTGTACACTTCCGTTAACGAGGCACCTCAATCATTTACTGCGATAGTATAACAACCTGAAGTCCATGGTTCAAATCCTGCTATAGCCTTAAATAATTTGTTTACACTCGGAACTCTCTTGTTGATTAAATTAAATTAATTCTTCATTTAAGTCCCGCAAGCTGTTGATTTCTTTTCAGATATGATTTATTAAGGTTATAGTCATCCTGGTTTCAAATACTTCGTAACATGTGTTAGCAGTGGTATAGTGATTTACAATTATTTAATTGTAATGCATAGATCTAAATAATGTCTCATACACCTTTATTCTTTACTCAAGGTATGTTGCTCAGTTCATCATTGCCCAAACACTTACCGGCATTGGAAGTCTGCCCCGATAACGTCACATGATGTGTCATCCGTTACGCTTGATACAAGCACATGTGGTAACGTGGCCCTGTCTGCGGTAAGATACGCGTGGAGGGAGAGTCCGTGTGAGTTCAAGCAGTGTGCTGTGTACGGGAGAGATACTGATCTCCCTGCCCCTACATTTTACCATAGCTTTCACGGATAGTGTGTAAAATGGTTTGGGAATAAAAAGAAGTTTTATTTTCGTTTCTGTTTATTTGCTACCTTTCACGGAAAGCCACTCTCAGTCAGCGGAGTATAAATGTTGTGTCGCGAGTGACATCTTTATATTGGAAAAGAAGCCATATCGCTCATCATTTGTGAAATATTCACCAGTTATGGACTTTTGTTGAGGTATATATGTGGTTATATGAGAAAGCGATATTGAACGAAACGAAGTCCATAAAACACATAAAAATAGTAACTACAATTCAATATCATATGATAATACAATATAAACTTATTTAGTGTACAACAATTTTGAAACAAGTTATTTCAGCTTATATTAAACCAATCACTAACATTTATATTTGAGTATCAGATAAACTCTGAAAGGGTTAGTATTCCAAAGCATCTGTGATCAAACTGTTACACATTATGATGGAATTGAAACAATAGGAAACTGATAATAAAGAATCAACTAGTTGAAGTCACTTCTCAAATACTTGAAGTTGCCAAGATTCTATGACATATGTACAACATTATATACATCAGGTAATATTCAAAGATTGTTAATGAAAACGTAACAATTATGCATAATCATTGTACCTGACATTGTCTCGAATGGGCTGGACATTATTCATACTGCTTAGTTGGTAAACTTTACATGGGATTTGTTTACGCTATATTTGCGGTCTTCAAAGAAGCGCAAAACTAAAAGCCAATGGAATTTAAAAACGACAAATTATAATCTCTGTGAATATATATAAAAAAAAAACTAAACAGAGAAATACCCATTGCCTCGGTTACTGCCGCAAACTGACTCATGCCTTTAATTATCAGTTTGAGCTAGGTCAAATTGCTATCAACGATACAACAGACGGTAGAACATATTACTGATTTAAATATGGTGTGGTCTACTCGTTTAAACATATTATAACGCACCTCGGACAAAAATGTCCAAAAACCATTGGTTTAGAGCTGTCACGTGGTGACCCTCTAATTTTCTATAAATGGTCAGTAGGATTCCTATTATAGGGCAATATGGCCGCCCATTGCTCACCTCTCCAAAACTAAAACAACAGATACGGGTACCTGAATATTCTGCAAATATCTTGCACACAAATGTTTTACTTAAAAACTGGTAAAGTGTGATCTTTTACCATGACCTTTGACCTTTGACCATTTGATCGTTTGATCTTGACCTATGATTATCAAAATTCAAACCAGTTATGGAGCTCGGTGTATTTGCTTTTTTGGACTCTTTTTTTGGCATACAAAAGTGACCAGAATAAATATTTTGCACCCTTTGTTTCTCTATCTCCACTCTTTTTTTTCTTATCGCAATACTTGGCAATAGCTCACATTTGGCCTTAGCTTTTAACGTTGGCCAAGGTGGAGATGGGAATGGGTTTTGTCCCCGAAGAGGGGCATAACTATATCCTTAAAATGATAGTGGGTATTCCCCGCTAAGTCATCGCTGCAGGTTGGTTATCGGAATCGAGAAAAGAATCCACCTGCTGTTACCCACTGCATGTATCGAAGGTGACGACTTATGTGGAACACCCCCTACCCCCTTGTATAATTTGGGATTCTCTTTTGTGCCCTCTACACGTGGGGACACAAAAACGACAAAAAAATAAGTGGGCTGGTCCAATTGCAACTTTTTGGAATTGTATGTTTCTTTCTATTTCTATCTACCTTTTCTTTCCTAGTGCCTTGCCTGTCAATACCTCACTGCTGGCTTTAATGTGAGCTTTCGCCCAGGTATTTCAGTGAAATTGAATTATTAAGTCGGCATCAGATCCGCGCACAAGGAGGCAAGCACACCATCATACCCTGTGTCCGGCACACATACACGCTTGCGTGGTTACACAACACACATGAACAAGTTTACATACGTATCTTATCATGTATCAATATACAGATGTGCAGTATGATATTTGTTGAAACAAATAAGCAAATAAATAGATAAAAAATGTTGATTTTAACATACCCCCTCCGAATAGATTCACGTCGATAATGCACGCATCTACGTAACGTTGGCCGGATTTGTCAGTGAAAAGCGCCTCCAGTGGCACTCAATCGTAGCCATTACATATGTCTGATGCATCGTTGGTTTGTCAAAGGTAAAGTGATTAAACTTACAGACAGATATGTTCGGATCGTGTGCAAATCAGTGGGAGTATAATTGATTTGCAAAGTATCAGAAACGACAAGAAACGCAGATTACTTTAAATTTCTTGTTTTGCCTGGAAAGATATTTTTAGAGTGGTAAATTAAGTGACTTATTTGCATAGATTACAACTAAGCAAAGTGTACCAGGTTAAATTTCCATATAAAATAAAATAAAAAATATTTGAAAAAAACGGTAACTTAAAAATATTCTTATGGTGAAATCTCAGTGATTTAAAATAAGACGACGAGAGGATACTCAAGAGATCACAAAACCAAAATTCAAACCCAAAATCGACAAAACTAGGGCAAAATATGAACAAATGAAACATTAACAAGATTCAGATCAGGTGTTCCGGAAGGGTAAGCATCTTTTGCTTTTTGAACGGCACCCGACATGTAAATCTAGGTCACATCCAAGTAATATCAAGTTCTCACATCGAGAATTCGGATGGTTACAACAAAATCACAAGGCACGCAATTAAGCATTGAACTGTTTTTTGTATGGTATTTATGATCTATTTGAATGACACAGCTTTGCAAGCAAACAACATAATGCGCGCTAGCGCATTATGATTTGTTTGCTTGCAATGATGTGTCATTCAAATAGATCATAAATATCATACAAAAACAGTTCAATACTTATATTTACGTTTTCTCTGCCTCTTATGTTCTTTTTAACTTATAATTTATAATTAAAATTAAAAATGCCCGCCTTATCGACAGTCCACACAATTTCGTTCNGCATAACAAAACATTGACCTTCATATCACATAAAGAGGTATATTTCCCATTGAGATCCTGATGGCGACCACAAGACTTGTCCGATATCTTCATCAACCTGCATTTTTGGAAACCTTGTGATGTAAGTTTGTCGATCAGTAGTCACGTTACAGTGCAGTAACATTCCCAACGGCCCAATGTGTTGGTATACGGGAACAAAATATCGGTTACAAGAGGCGCGATTCATGTGTAACAAAATGTTACCCGTCAATACGCTGTACACGGAAAGATGCCTATGTCGATTACAACGTAAACCCTATTGTGATATTCAAGTTCATTTATAACTTGCTACCCTAGCGTAACGATGATGCATTCAAAAGAAGCTTACATTTGGCAATGCTAAAGTAATTCAAACATCAAAATAATCTGGATATAAACTGTGGAAGGGAGATATTCAGAACCTCGAATTACAGTTGAGTTAGCATACTTCCCTGAATGAATAAGTCAAACTTAGAATAAAAGTATTACAATGTATTTTAAATCATTTCATAGTTATACTCTCACAAAGTCATTTAGTTTGTATGATATTTAAATCATAACACAACTGAGAAATGACCATAATATTTAGTTGTGATATGTGAAACAAGAATGTTTTCTTAACTTGTTAACCGTCCAGAACAAAAACCTTTCTGTCCTTTTGGTTAAATTGTTATCCTTCCAGATCAAAGACCTTTCTGTCCTTTTGGTTAACTTGTTAACCTTCCAGATCAAATACCTTTTTGTCCTTTTGGTTAACTTGTTAACCTTCCAGATCAAAGACCGTTCTGTCCTTTTGGTTTACTTGTTAATCTTCCAGATCAAAGACCTTTCTGTCCTTTTGGTTAACTTGTTAACCTTACAGATCAAAAACCTTTCTGTTCTTTTGGTTAACTTGCTAACCTTCCAGATCAAAGACCTTTCTGTCCTTATGGTTAACTTGTTAACCTTACAGATCAAAGACCTTTCTGTCCTTTTGGTTGAGCTCTATAGCATACCAAGCTTTGAAATTTTACTTCAAAATCAGTGACTTTCAAAAGGATTAAAAACTCAAATACTAGAAAGGGAGCCAATCACATTAAATGCTCACCTGGTTTTGTAAATATCTTTTAACATTTTTCTCCTGTAAGATGTTTGTTTATCAATGACATACATTTCCTAGCCTTCCACACCATCAAAGCCCTGATCGCAATTGTTCTGTGCAAAACTCGTTGAAATATTTTAAGACGTTTAGCCATGACTTTGAAAAAAGCACATATATCACGATTCGAAGCCGTAGGGGTCTTAATAAATTATTTGCCGTTTTTAACGTATTTTGCCCCCTGGACAATGCATGTGATGCAACATTTTTCATTTGAACAACATTAATAACAAACTCAACAGCTCACAACAGGATAAATGCAATGATAAGGATTCGACTCGGTCAATATCTCTTTTTCAGGTTTATATCACACCAGCGTAAAATCCCATAAGTATTTTAGTATATGCCTCAACAATAAAATAGCATTTAAAAAAAGGTTCTGAAGTAGTTTCTGGGTTTTTTTTTACCTTTTTTACATGGCTTGGAACGCTGGTTTTGACTTGGGAAGTTCCATCACGTTGGTATGTCGAATTCCTGCAAATATTTATTCAACCCATTTCTTATAGACACAAAAGTGGACTTTTGGTATAGCTCACCTTTATTGGAACGGGCCGAGATGTAAAATTAGGCAGGATTGAATCCAAAAGTTCGGCATCATAGCTTTAGAGACATCTTCAAGTTTTTTTACCTTAATATAAGCATGGAGGAAACGCACTGTGTGTTCGGTGATCTTTTTGTATAAACAGCATCTTTATCATCGAGTAGTTTTTGGAAATATTCAGATGTAACGAAGGCGAAGCGTTCGCTAGCAGACCTCTTCTGTTGTCGTCTGACAGATCGTGTTCCGGTGTAATTGAGCATTCTCTACGACAGGTTGCGGGGAATTCCATTGTCTACATGAAGTTTTGAGGACTGGTCACGCGAGAAAGTTCCGGCCAAAGTCATTGGGAAAAATATTATAGCATATTTTTCTTTTCAATACACACTATGCATTATTTGATGTAACCAATAGGAGGGTATATAAACGATGACTTCTGTACTGTAACGGGCAAGATTATTATTTACAATTGGTCTAAGGGCGATAACCGTGAACGAATAATTGTAATTTTATGGTTAGCTGCAAGCTTTATGCAAGATTAACTTCAGTGAAAAGTGGTATTATCAAAAAGAAAAGGTAGTATCCGTTCAGATGCTTAAACTCTGTAAGCGAGGTAACTCGGATGATCTTGATCTTGTACAATTGTGAAATGATTGATAAAACAGAATAACAACTTATCTCTGCAGCTAAACAATAGTTGTGTACAAGATATATGACTTGCCAACTGAATAGGACCCTTTTAGTTAATAAATATTAAATCTTTGTAAATTGATGAAACCAGCAAAGCGCCTTACCTGGCAATACAAAGTTTTTGACCTTTGTGTTAATCGTTGGCCAAAGTGCGGAAGGTTATGCGTTATATTCGTTCGCGAAAGCGCGGAATAGTATGTGTTATATTCGTTATGTGTTTATGGGACACGAATGCTGACTTCAAATCAAAAGTGAGTTTTTCATACCCCTTGCACCGTTTGGGATATTCCTTTTTCTTTCTTTCTGACATCGCCTGTTTCCTATTTACTTATTTTGCAATGTCTTGCTTTAGTGTTGGGCGTTCGAAAATACAAAGAAGGATTTTGGTTTTGTTCCATGATTGAGACAATCCTAGTTGGTATTTACTAGTTTTGCTTCTTGGCGTTCATTTTCAATAAATGCCGATAAGGACGTGATAGCTCATAGCCAGTATAATGTGACCGGAAGAGTGACACGAGGCGCCACCTTGTCCAGGTTACGACTTTCAATGAATTGGTACTTGGAATTGACCTTCGAGTACACAGGGACCTGCGAATTTGTTACAGCTATATGTGGCCCTTAACTAAGAAGTATTACACGTTTTATGGTTTTAGAACAACTTTTGGTGAGAATGCCACCCCAAATGATACATAATACACAAATATGTATGTAACATGGATTGGGTTCTTACCGAAAGTTGTTCTAAACCCCTAAAACTAGTAATATTACTCTGAGCCGTTCAGTTTATGTCCAAATATGGGTGTAACAAATTTTCGAAAGCATCAGCAAATGGTTAAATTTAAAGTACATGTAGTCTTTCTGCTAGCTCTCATATTTAAATATCCCCGCCTAAACATTCGAAATAAACAATATAATCGCAATAAGATTCATAATGTGTCCAAGTGAAGTTAAACCAAATAATCATTATCACATACATGTATATTTCATATGATATATGATACAAACGTATTATATAGCTTCAATTAATTATAGTTTACATATGACATGATATTATTATAGTAAATGTTTTGTAAACAAGCGTGACCTATAATTTATGGAAGATTCGCCTGAATGAAAGAAGAAAATAATTATGAACGGAGGACGGAATGAATCAGAGAGTGAAAGTACTTTGTAAAATAATAATTGTTTACAGTATATATAGAGTGAACTGATAGAGAACCCCCCTAAGAGGGAACATACAATGTTAAGGGTTTTGATCCAAGGGCCCTTACCCTGGCAACACCTCATTTCTATATTAGAAATGGCACAATTTGACTACACAAAAACATTTTTTTTTAAGAAATATTTGTACCTTTGAATTTTACCATTTTCTGTATATCGAAACTCAAATTCTTACAGTTCAGCATTTGAATCTAATTTTGATACAAACCAATGATATGGCTAAATATTTGACGAGTCTTGATTAGTTGGTCAGATAAGTATTTTAACAAGTGCATATAGATGTACAGATATTAAACATTTGAAAAAATGGCTTCCGCATAATTGTTAATACAAATTACCACGCACGATTTACTATATAAGGTTATTTCTCACATTTGAAAGGAATGTTACAAATTTGTTTATTTCATTCAAATTTTTCGAATCATAAAAACGATAAGTGGAGTTTAAATGATTCATCTCACAGACCAAATGACTGCAAAAATGGTATTCTCATGCTATGCCCTAATATCATTTAAGGACTACCATATCGCTGACCAAAAATAAACTATACATTCTAAACTTATTTTTCGGAATGGCTATAGCTTTGATAAACATTTTTGAAAAGAAACGTATACCGTGCGGGACTTTTATAAAGATCTAATGCTAAAAATTCGGTCTCTTTTCCATTTTGTTGGACGGCGGTGTCTGGGAATGAAACTGAATTTGTAGAACAAGCATCAAAGGTTAGTTGTATGTGTCCTTTATTGTTGAGGTAAGGGCACTTAGTGAGTATTAGGGCTGCAACGATATATCGTACCCCAACGATCGATCTATAGAGGTATTTTGAATACGGTGCGATACACAATATTCTTTCGGAGGTCACGATGTTTTCCGGATTTTGTCGTTTCTGAATTTAGTCAACTCCTATCCATTCCAACATGGCGAGTGACATCTCCAGCTCGACATGCACGTCGAAAAACGTGAATTGTGTGAAACTTTAAAGTTATGAGCATTATAGACAAAGTTCACTTTCAGTTGTAATATTGCCATTACAAATTTGCAACATATCTATTCTCTTTGCTTCTACTCTTACTATATCTATCGTGATGAGTATCGTATCGTACTAATCACAGTATCGTATCGTATCGTATCGTCATGTTCATGTATCGTTGCAGCCCACTGACTAGCCCACGCGACACGCACGTTAATACAGTGAAGAAATAACCTGTCCGTTCGTCCAACCAGGTGACCCTTTCAAGGTTTAGCAAAGGTAAATCGAATTGGTTAACTGGTATATGTAAACAAAATGACAAATGATTCACCGACTTTTTTGTGTGGTCATTCTAACCAGAGACGTATATTTTACGTAATACAACTATATGTACGTCTCTGGCCAAACTAATGTATTGCCTATTATAGTCATTTTTTTACCTTTGTCGCATTTTAAAGCGAAAGATTTGTTTACTGTTATTTGATTTTATTTTTTCATAGTTTTATATTGCGAGTGAAGGAAAAAGAATATTGGCTGACGAGAAAAGACAAATTGTTATGTTAGCAAAAACAAACGTTTACTGTAAAATCATATGTTTTCGTTTGTTTTAAACGTTGTTTTTGTTTGGGGGGAAATTCATTGGGATAATATTTCGTGGAATCAATATATTAAAACCCTGAAATGTATCTGGTTATATTAGTAGACACAGTTCAGGTATAGATCGGGCCAAATTTACTGACTTATATATACAAAGAGCAATCAATATAAACATAATGTATATTTTGTAGACTCGCATAGACGTACATGAACCTTGTCAATAGTTCTTACGACAGCTTCTGAAATGGAAACAAATTATTATTCTTTTTTCAGTTTATATTTCGTGTGTTTAAAATTTCGTCGGTTTATGTTTCGAGGTTTTAATAAAAACAACGAAAGAAACGAAAGAAAATCCCCAACGAAATATTATGCTTATACAGTAATTCCTTTTAGTTATTATTTGTATTAATTTATTTTTTCGTATCAATTTACATTTAAACTCAAATCGTATTACATTTTTTCAATGATTCAAAATGAGAATATTATTCTAAATATATAAATATGTACTTAAGAAACAAAATACGTGCATGTATCAGAAGGATTGTTTTATTATAAATAAAAGTGTTCTCTTTTAATACATTTCAAAAGCTAGCGACCGGTACTTATTGTGTATAAACATATCTTTGTCTTGACAAATACCTATTTCGTTATTCTTGTAAATAGACTCATTTTCAATTGATACATGACACTAGTGAGAGAAAAAACCCATAAAAGAATAATATACATGTATATAACATTATATCTCAAATAAACATATCTCATGAAAATACACATTATGTTTTTGAATTGGACGTACTTACGTAAGCGGACATAAATTTAAGCGTACTATCGGATTTTGACAGTTATCACATTGAGAAATTGGCGCACTCACAAGATATGCAATATTAAACAAAATAAAGAAATTTCAATTAGCCCAGTCATTTTCAAAAATTATTGATTAATGATATTGTCATGAAACTGGAAAAAAATACTTTAATTTATAGTTACACTTCCTTTTTTGGCAGTGGTATGAGGTTCTCTAAAGTATAAATGGCATACAGCATGATAAAAAGAACTCAATTTTTTAAAAAACAAAATAAAAGTTAACTTTTACGTGACATTTAAAGTGTCTAGTATAAAAAGTATAGTCAGCTGTTTACCTTACGAAAGGTCTCCCCTTATATATTTAAGGTTCATAAACTTCTTTGTTGTATGCTAAACACGAAATTGTACAATCGATGTTCCAGATATTAACATCCCAACTCAAACAAGTACACTTGTGTGATAAATGTTCTAGACCAACCACATCTGAATATAACAACTAAAAGTTCTATCTATCAAACACTTAACCGACAAATATTTGTTGTAAATCATGCATTACGTGCAGGTACTTTCAAATGAATAGTGTTGAATATGTATTATAATAACCAACGCGTTTAAAGATTTTATTTGTAATGTAAACACGCGTGAGAAAGCGTCACTGACATTTAAAATTCAAAACAATGTTTCACAAGTTCCGGTTAGGTGATTTTTACCTATCTATGTCAAACAGGCTACGGTTCTCGGGTTTTACCTGTGACAGTAAAGAGCATTCGACTTGTATACATGTCAAGCCTTAACACAGGCGGGTAGCTGCAGACGGGATGTTTGAAGGGTCTACCGACAAATTTGATTTCTCGGATATTGAAAGTAGAAAAAAGATGGGACGCAACGACGAGGAAGGTGGTTGCCGAATGTCCGGTGCGTCGGGTTTCCTTCTGGTATTGTTTGCCTTAGCCATCGCTGTAGGTGTTGGACTTCTTGTGCATTTTACTGGAAACCAGAAGGAGTTTAATTGTAACTGCCAGTGTGGACCAGCCGAGGGTGTGGTCACACCGGCTCCCGGATTTCTGACGGAAACATGCAAGGCCTCAGCGGTTCTCGGAAACCAACAGCTATGTACGTTTAACATATCATCTTTAGAACTAAGTTTAAGAATGTTTTATTTGAATTTGGTTCACTAGATATTACAGGTATTGTGCTTGAACAGATATTTTCTATACATTGTATCACATTTGCTGAAATAGTTAATCATATATTTTCTGGACATTGTATTACATCTGCTGTAATAGGTGTGCAGATGTTTTCCGTACAGGGTATACCAGTTGCTGTATCAGTTGTACAGGTATTTTCTGTACAGGGTATATAGTATTACATTTGAGGTAATAGATAATAATTTTACAAAACATTGTTACTGCTCGTTATTTGGATTGTTTAGGTTTCTGCAGCATTCGATTTCTAAAAAATTTGAATGAAAAAAGTGTCCTTATATAATGAAACGTGATACAACACGTATTTGAATGTGCAATAGATAGGTTGAAAGATAGGACATACCCATCCGCGTTTATAAAGATAAAAATATTTCAAATTACGCTTGGGAATTTAAAACAAGAAGTGTCCTGATATAATGAAAACTTATACAACACGTATTTCAACGAACCTCGGAGTTCAAGGTTGAAAGATATACAGGATCTACCCTGTGCGTGTTTATCAGGAAATCATTATCACGTGGAGAGTATAATGGGTCATGGTCTTTACATCATAGTTGTGAGTATATGGGTCGAATATACGTGAAATTTGACACTTGTTTTCAGTGAAGCCATTTCTGTTTAACAGACATAGGGGTAAAGCGATTACGCTCTTCAGTATTGTGTATATATTGCCTACACGACGTATGGTCGTCCATGAAGTATATCGCTAAATGTGCGCAGGGCCCTATTGAACTGATTTGCCTCTGTGCTACAAAGATAATAAAAAGTTGACTGCTTTAGGGGGAAATGTATACACAATGGTATTTCGATAGTAACTATTTCTGATGTCTATTATCAGGTAGTTTAAACGTCTTCAGGGAGAGCTATACACCCTATTTAATTTTAAGTATGTATAAAATGTCAATTCCATGTAGCCTGTTATGTGGTATTTCTTTATTCCCCGTGTGTTACGTATTCGTTAACAGTCAGATGTATACAGAACATTTAAAAGTGTTAAACTGGAAATTCTTCCGTGTGAAATTTTTCGCGCTTGCGCTCTTTAGACTGATCGCGATGTGGATTTTTTCACGTTTTCAATGATTCTGAAATCGTTGTATTCTATGCATATATATAAATATATAAATTTGAAAAAGGAGCGGATGGCTCCGAAAATTTGACAAACCTAAACTTGTCCACACTGTTGGAATTACTTCTTTGCCCCAAATAAATATAAATATATATACGTTTAATAATTTAAACGGTTTCCTGTTGAAATATATATCTAAATATTTCACGATTATGGCAGAATAACCGATATATTGCACGGCTGCGAAGCACGAGTAAAAATATCGGTAAATTCTGCCATAGTATTAAGTCGACAAAAGTATATATTGCTCTTTAAAAATGGGGGAATTAATGTTGCTGTATTTGACAATTTTAAGTTCATATTTTAACTGTTTCAATAAGGCAGCATTTCAAACGGTTTGTGCTCAATTGTTGTTGAATAAACCATTGGTTGCAACGATCAAGGGGTGTAACATTGACACCGTGCGAACACTAGATGTAAAATAAAAGAGGTTATTTTATATATACCTTGAGATTTTTTCAGTTATTTAACTCATTCACCCCTGAAATTTCATAACGACTTATTCTTACTTTTCGTATGGGAGAGCTCAAATGTGTCTTCATAGGTAAATTAGTTAATTGTGAAAATAATTATTTAATTTTACAGTTTTTGCTCCCGATTTTTTTACATCTTAAAGAATATTTCATCAACACCTACTGCTACTGAAAACGAATGTATACAATACAGCAAATGTCCAACGTCTATTGCGCGTGTCCTCATTATCATATAAATTACAGGTGTCACGCTTAAAAGTTTTGTATGTACTTGACGCTGGGTAAACTTTGCGACAACATGCTATAACTCCGCCATATACAAATATCGCTTCTAGAATGGGTATTGAAGTGTGCGGAGTTTGTGGTCTGGCAAGGTCGTCAATTATTCGGTTTTTTTATATCTTGACATTTGATATCTGTAGGTTTTATATTTGTTTGAAGGTAAAACCCGACTAAGCTTTTAATGTATGGCTATACCATTTTAATTAGATACATTGTACATGGCTAGTAAAGTAAATTAAGTTATGTACGAAGTCTTTCCCCATTACGTAGCATTTAAACACACTTTTTTATAGTTTACTTCCATCTCCAAAATCTAGCATTTATACACCTGCTTATATGTATTTCATGACGTTTCTAAATTATTAAATATCAATTTCGAAACCTCTCGGATAGTTGCGTCCTTGGCAGAGTTGTTCAAAAGGTGATTTGCTTAAATGCAACCATTTACTGTGAGAAAATGTCAAGCTGGCAAATATATTATTTAGTACAGTTAAACTACGAACCAAATTGTAAGGTTTTACCTGGCATATTAACCAAATTATTAGCGGTTGAAACACAACATTAGACAGTGATTAAGCTAATCACCGTTTGAATAAATGGGCCCTGATGACTAAAATATTAAGTCTGGATTTTCTACAGTAGTATAGTTCAAGTTCGAATATTTTATTTTCGTGTCAAACACATAGTATTCATAAAATCACAATACATATATACCTTTGAATATAAAATGTGTCTAGCCAAAATGATTTGTTAGACACGTTATACGAACAATCACACTATTTACTTTTAAAACTATCTTCAAACATGTAATGGTATTAACCCGTTTTTGTAAAAACAATTATGCTTGATAAGATTTTATTTGTAGCAGGATTATAATTTCCATATATATATAATGCCATGTACCCCAACAGTGTAAGAGATATACAATAGTGGTTTGGCCTATCCCCACCGACAAATTATATATCCCCCACCCCATACCTGCACATCTAATTATAATACATAATATAATATGGAAGAAACATAGTCCTTCTCCACATAAGAAAGTATATCTAATCTACGCTGGGCAATTTTAAAGCCGTAAGCACTTAAAATATGCTCACAATGTCTGGGATCATTTATGATAGGCTTACCCTTAATACATATTTGCGTTACCTTAAAACAAGATATACCCCGGTATAAATAATTGTTAGATGTTGTTGGAGAAATAATTGACTGCAATGAATCCAAAGCATCTTTTTAAATTTGCATAGCTGGTCTCTTTTTTTTTATCTCAGGTTATTATCGAAATTGAAAGGTATTTTCCTATTTTTGGCAGGACATCTAATTTGCCGAACTTGCTAGAAAATTCTGTAGGCAATAAAAAGGTGTTTACAGGAGGTTTGTAAAAGCGATCAGTTACGATAAAATAGAACGAGTTCAACGAAAACTCTATACACTGTAAACTGTTGACGTATATACCCGAGAACACCTGACTGAACATGTGAACCCGCAAATCATTGGTGCGTTAATAGTGATTACTGTTTGGCGTCAGGTTAAACTTCATGAATAATGTATAAGCTGAAGCGAGATTATTTTGTCGTGGTCTACACCATGTGAATGTTTAAGTGCCCTACCAAGATGCAATTATGTTAAAAGAAAATTAGCACGCCTTCAAACATTGTATGGGTGTCTTACATTTGGAATGTATTCTAAAAATATGTAAGAAATTGCAACAAACAGGGCTTAGAATGTGTTGAAATGTGTTTACATTATACAAGACGGTAACATTTCCATTGAAAATTCCATAAAAAGTTATAAATTAAACAACTTACAGCTGCAATAATTATCGCAGCACTCTGACCCAGTCGTGTACAAGTAGTATACTGACGTAGAAATCGACAGTTGATATGGTGGAGTTGTCCCTTCTGTGAAAATGAAATTTCTCGCGTGTGGAAGGTTCGCGTTATGATTCTTAACACCGATAGGAGGTGTAAGTGCAATGAACCCATAAAGCACATGATGGAGTTCAAGGTTCCACGGGTTACACACATTTACAGCATCACTGGTAATACATCATTAAATAAGCAATTACAAGTCAAATTAACATCGCAAGGGTCAATTTGAATTAATGCATTAATTCGTATATTTAAGGATATTATGAACTTCAATTTATGTTATAATGTACCAATAAATCTGAATGTTATGTTAGTACATTGATATACACGATTGTAGCCGATTCATTCCGTATTACTCTAACCCTTGCGATTTATCAATACAGTACATGCTGTGCAAATAAAAGAAAATACAGATATATGCAAACAAATAATACAACACTCCGACCATGCATACACGATCAAATTAAAGCAATAGTGTGGAGTGGTTCTTTTCAGATTTAACAGTATTGAATCTCTTATTTTGATTATGGTTCAGACATTTTGCTCAATTTGACAGTTCCTTATTGCTGTATACGTTGTTGTAATCAAATCTTAAAAACGATTGCCATCCTAGGTTTTTTATAATATTTTTTTTTTTTCATTAAACAGTTTCTTAAATCAGTATAGTGACTAGAATTAACAATAAAATTATAATTCGTCTTCGAAAACAGCTTGGTACAAGTAGTGACGACAGTTTATACAACATAACTAGTTGAGGTTATGCCAGATTTATAATAAATTTGTTACACATATTCTGAAATAGTGTAGCTTTCCTATATCCCAACATGTACTTTAGATGTACATGCGTAATTTATCATTTGCATTAACGGGCTTTGGTCAGTAACAAATGTATTACATATAGAAATGTATCTAACTTTGCATGGTCAAACGAAACATATTTAAGGTTCAATATACTAGTGCCAAGAACTGCTACTACACATCATATTTTTTTCTAGCATGAGCATAACTTTGTTACATCATTTCGGAAAAGAAAAGCATATCTTGCGGTACCTTTGTTAAAGAATGACTTGCACCATTGTTCTGAGTATTAACATTCAGTGGGGCCAGACTGGGATTCGAACCCGATGCTTCATATTGTTATACTATCGCCCTCACGGACTGTGCTATCTGGTCAACGGGAGTGTCCTGGCTCAACTGTGCTACACGCACAGTTATATCTAAAACGAAGTTATGGGGAGATAACTGTTTGTTCGAAAAACCAGAGCACAATAGGACAGGGATCCTTAAGAATTGTATATTAAAAAATAAAACATCTTTAATGTGCAGGTAGACTTTGTCCCAAAATGACCACTGCGCCACCTACAGGGATGACGACAACCATGACGATGAGTACAACAGTAACTATGGACAACACAACAGGTCCACCTACACCCCCTCCAGGTCCTATCACAGACACTCGTCTGCCTACCTCTGTCAAACCACTACTGTATGTGTTAACACTGCGACCGGAGCTCTACAATAGCAAGCCAGAAACTTTCACTTTTAATGGCACAGTCGGGATAACAATAGAATGTATGACTGCCACGGATAACATCACTCTCCATATTGCCACGCAGAATCTTACGGCCACCCCGACAGTAGATGCTGTTAATGCTTCCGACGTCTCGCCTGTTGTCATAACCACCACCAGGGACATGGCCAGACAGTTCTTGATCCTCTCGTTAGATAAATCGTTAGTAGCTGGAAATCAGTACGTCGTTCGAATCGCCTTCGAAGACAGACTGTCTAATGAAGTTCTTTTGGGCATGTATATTAGCAGTTACAGAGATGAAGCGTCGAACATGACCAAGTACGTATATCTTTTTACTAAAATAAAACATACCAAAAAACAGGACAAATATCATTTTTCCAACTTAGTGCGGAAATTTACAAACTAATGTATTTTTATATGGATAAGCGTCTATGAATGAGATAATTGTGTGATCAGTGTATACTAAATAATTGCAGGAAATTAAGTAAACATCAGTTTTGTGTGTTTAGCATATTCCGTGAAAACGTTAAGGGTGAATATCTCGTGATTGGGTTTCAAACACAGTTAATAATAATAAAAAACCATACCCAAAAACAGGACATATATCATTTTACAAACTTAGTGTGGAAATTTACAAACTAACGTATTCTTATACGGATAAGCGTCTATGAATGAGATAATTGTGTTGTGTTGAAGATATATGGCAGTCACCCAGTTTGAGCCAACCTACGCAAGACATGCGTTCCCATGTTTTGACGAGCCAGCAATGAAAGCGAGGTTTGATATCACCCTGGAGCGACAACCTCACATCATCAGTCTCTCCAACATGCCGATGTCTAGTTCAATAGCCCTGTAAGTTACTGAAGAAAGGATATTACGGAAATTCAAAACTGCATGGCATAGCCAACCTTGGTCGTGCATATAAGTATATAATGGCAACGAAAATTTTACCTTCAATGGATATTTTTAACAGCTATTTAAAAAAAATAAAACATTATTACTTTAAGATTCGTTATTATTTATCCAGTGAAAATACTGTACAACTTTTCTTTTAAATATACATGTAAATTTCTTTTTGTAATATTCTTATTATTGGCTGATATTTTTGAAAGTTTATATTGTCACGTTACGTTTTTCAAAATTATCGTTTTAGTATCGACCCAACTTATTTCCACAAACTATTGTAAAACAAGTTGTATCTATTCCTTTCCATTGCAAGGTTTTGTTGTATGGGCTACGTTTCACAGCTAAGTTCATTTCAGCGTGCATTGTTGAGTGTAATACTTGCGTGTGTCCTCCAGCAGTACGTCGGTGCGATATTGCGGATCTGATGCCAATTTGAGAGTGCTACCTCACCTCACGCATACAAACAACAACAACAAAATACAAAACAAACAAGTCCCATGCCTAAGTTAAGTGTGAGGAGCACTCTCAGATATATTCAAAAAAAGCACTCAATTTTAAAAACAAAATGTAAATAAAACAGTGAAAATAATAATTCGCGAAAAAAGTTTACAGTATACACGAAGTTACTATAAATCTGTTTGTTATCGTTACAGCGGAGACGGTTATATTGCTGACCATTATGACACCTCAGTCGTAATGTCAACGTACCTAGTGGCCTTCGTCTTTGGTGAACTGGACAGCGTGAAAAATACAACAGCAAATAATGTTCTGGTGAGGATTCAATATAAAATACATAAGTAATAATTCGCAGTACTCGTTTCCAAGAATGTCATTAAAAAGTTCATTTTGGAAAAGAGTTATCTCAAAAGTCCACATGGAAATAAACCAAAGTCCCTTCTAGTGCATGCGATGATTATCCGTTGTCATTCTTAATCATTTTCTATATGGAATATTAAAGTGACACTTGTCTGATTTTATTGCAAACATTGACTTTGTATGTCTAGTGTAATCATATCACCATGACCCTTGTTTTAATTTGATTAACAAAGTTCTTTACTAAGGTGACACGATTATATAATTTATAATGATTATTCTATATTATTATTTTACTATCGTGTGCTATGAACATTTTGTATTCTTGGACCCATTGATGAAAATGTATAGATTTATATTATAAAGGATAACTTGACATATTTACCATTAAGCGTTAGCGAGATTGATGAATGTTTCCTTGAACCAAATGTTGTTAAGACCTCATAAGAAATAAATTGCAGCCCTTATTTGAAGTAAGTACACACCTTATTTCATGTATGTCGATATCGTGATGTCAAAAGGTCGATATTACTTTGATAATGTATTATTATTTCGTTAGCATTAAAGCAAGAATGTGACGTCAACATTGCGAGGTCTTAAATATGTTGTTGTTCGCAGGAAACATTTTTTTATTGAAGCATTCATAATAAAGTTGACGTGGCCTCATTTTATTTGTCAAATGGTCTCATAGTGTTCCACCATAGATCAATTTCATAAAATCAATATAAGATGCAAACACTTTTACATCCCTTTGCATATTTACGGGTATTAGTATTTATAAAACATCATATTTGTCTTACAGTTCGGAGTGTATACAACGCCTAGTAATATCAACCAGACATCGCTTGCACTGCAACTGGGAAGCGAACTTCTAGATACATTTGAGGAGTATTTCAACATAAACTTCGTTCTTCCAAAGCTCGGTAAAACATCTTAAAGTTTTTGTTCCAACGTTCATCAACAGGATTCTTTTTCATTTTTCATAGAATGAGGTTCAGAAATGTAGACTTTGTAATAAGGGGAAATCAGGCAATATATACATAAGACATACTTATTATAGAAACTGACTGTGTTTAAAGATGATTAAAAGGTTTAAATATAAATAAAAGCTTCATTTTACACCTAATATGAAAAAGACTTTTTTTCAACTGATATTGATCAATTGTCCTTGTGTAAATAAAATACTGCCAAGAGGATCTTAATGTTGGAAGAAACCGGATTACCCGGAGAAAACCCGGGTGCTCTTAGGCGATACGCTATCCATTGCACCATCGACCACCTTGACATTAAGCGTGTTTTACCTCCCGCGAATATTAACATCTATGCAGTGCGATATGCATGTCTCAAGACAATATTGGCCTCCTTGTCGTTATGTGCACAGGTCATGATTCATGATTATACTCTTAAGATAATGTCAAATTGTCTGACTATTTGTGACAAGGTGATAGTATACTATTTCATCTCCAGACAATGTCGGGCTGCCTGACTTTGTGTACGGTGCAATGGAGAATTGGGGACTGATGACGTACCGGGAGATCTACCTCCTGTATAGTGAAGGTGTGACTACCACACACGACATGGAACTAACGTCCGAGGTCCTGTCACACGAGATCGTCCATTCAGTAAGTAGCCCGATGAAAATTACATTACGTACGGGGTACCTGTGCTTTCAATGCCTCACTCTTCAGTATCATTTTCACGTTTTCCCTTTGTTGGGCAAAGTTTTTCCAGTGTTGTTCCTGGATCTAACTTAGTCGAGTGCGTATATTATTCGAATTAGTAGTATTCACTTACAAAATCCGAAATAAGAAACAAATACAAAAATGTAATGTCAAATTATTTGAGAGTCTTTAAATCATTATCAAAATTAAGTTGTGTATGTCTGATAACAAGCTATTTCATTTATTCTCAATACTTAATAGATATATCATCAAAATCTTCTTATATCGCCATTACCGTTACGATGTACCCAAAAGATTATGTATACTTTACTTCTTCCCCTGTAGTGGTTCGGTAACCTTGTATCCCCGGCTTGGTGGGACGATATTTGGCTCAATGAAGGGTTTGCAACCTTTCTTTCTTACCTCGGAGTTCATCGCGTAGTCCCAGAGTGGGGGATGGTGAGTATAAACCCATTATCTTAGACTAGTGTAGCTCTGTAACCCAGGATACGAAGATAGTATGAATACAGCTCGTATCTTTGACTAGTGTAGCGCGGTAACCCAGGATACGAAGATAGTATGAATACAGCTCGTATCTTCGACTAGTGTAGCGCTGTAACCCAGGATACGAAGATGGTATGTATGCATCTCGTATCTTAGACTAGTGTAGGTCCGTAACCCAGGATACGAAGATAGTATGAATACATCTCGTGTCTTAGACTAGTGTTGCGCTGTAACCCAGGATACGAAGATGGTATGTATGCATCTCGTATCTTAGACTGGTGTAGGTCCGTAACCCAGGATACGAAGATAGTATGAATACATCTCGTGTCTTAGACAAGTGTAGCTCTGTAACCCAGGATACGAAGATAGTATGTATACAGCTCGTATCTTAGACTAGTGTAGCTCTGTAACCCTGGATACGAAGATAGTATTAAAACATCTCGTATCTTAGACTGGTGTAGCGCTGTAACCAAGGTTACGAAGATAGTATGAATACATCTCGTATCTTAGACTAGTGTAGCTCTGTGACCCAGG